AAAGCTAGCTTTGCGTGGTTTGACTTCCAAAAATATTTTGCAAACCGGGACTTTCTAGTTTCAGAGGCAAAACGGATGCTTTTTCACTTCCTCCCAAGTCTTTGCATTCCGTGCATACCACCGACAGGCATACAAAACACAACCTGCTGAGCATGCCTCGACGCCTCGAACAGTAGCCAGGACTGATGATCTATACAGAAGCCACATAAGCCCATCCTGTGAGAATGACACAACTGAGGTCTTAAGCCTTTGGTCTTCAAATGTCTGCGAGGCTGAGCGAGTGCCAAGCGTCGGCAATTTCTTTTGCCACGTCATGTGGAGCTTTCTCCCTGCCGTCTATGCGTATCGTGGAACTCAAAAGAACGAAATCATTCTGAGCTCGGCCGGCTATGTCAGGTGGCTTGGGCGGAAAGGCATCTGCCAGCTGTACAGGAATGATTGGAATTTTCTTTTGGTGAGCATAAAGCAGCTCCCTGTATGTCTCATATCCAGCGCCTGTTTGTGCTCCATAGTCCTCAGAACAGAAGGCGACCATGGCTTTCATGCCATAGAGACCCTCCATGGTCGGCGCATGGAAACCCTGACCCACACTCACGTCCACCATAAAAGTGGGAACGCCCCGGTCTTCCAAGGCATCTCGCACTGAACGAATGTACGAGACCATTTCGGGAGTACTGAATCTCCCAGACAACATCAAGTGATGCCGCTGCCGGGACTCCTGCACAGCACAACATCATGGAATACACAGAACCGACGATCGGTGTGCGAAAGAACAATGCAATCATGCACGATCCAGATCAACAACACAATCCTTATTGAGCTTACTTGCAAGTGGCCATTTTTCGATACTTCTCAACTAGCAATTGAAGTTCAATTAAACAAGGTCTTGTTACGTTGAATCACACAGCTGGGCCAAAAGCCCATCTGCTTTAAAAGATCCAGTGATCAACCTTCTTCCCACTGGTCAACCGACTGACCATTTCTTGCAAATGATTGAAACAAAGGTCCATTGCTGTCTCCTCCTCATCTGTGACCTGCATCAGCGATTTGCAACGAACCCGCGCCGCTTCAATTCGGACACCGTGTCGCATCGCATGTGTTCGATCGCTTTGCTTGTTACAAGCTTCTGCCTTGTATTGGGTTGTATGTTGTTTGGGGTAAAGATTTCGTGTTTGATGCAACTGCCAAAGAAGGCAATTGTCATACTATGTTTGGCTTTGAAGTAGCCAGCGTGTCTAGAGTCCAGACTCGGGTACCCTGCTATATGGTCGACTATGTACCAACGAGCCCAATACGACTCACAAGATGTGAAGATTTCAGATGCTCGTAGACTGAGTACTGCACAGACGGGCGTCGACTGCCTGTGCTTGAGGGAACCTGAGAAAAGCAGAAGCTTCTGTAATCATGTCAAGCATGCGGTATGCCAGTGTAACACAAAGCACCGCAGTGTGTTCTGCGTGACACGGAGTCATAAGCCAAAGGAGAACTTAACTATGATCCAACAGAAAACCAATGATGTACTTTTGAACATGGGAACAGGAAGACTGCAACCGAGCCAATCCTTCAAAAAGAATTGAAAGCGATCTTTCTCTTCGTGAGACTGCTTGACCCGGACGTGCATGTTGATGATGTCAAAGGTATATAAAGGGATTGCCTTGAATTGGCATATACCAACAGAATCCAAGCCATTGCATCAAACACACATGTAGCATGTGGACTCTATTCAAATGCTTAACCAAGTGCTTGAGCATCACCGTCGTCACTTGGATTTGCTGATCTGGAACCGGGCAAGAAAATGGTCTACATCTTTCAAGGGGTTCAGCCAATTTGGGACAAGAACAAATCACCATACCCATCTATGAGATATCATATCTCCCATCCCAATATGAACTTCTCCTGCACCACTTGGGGTGGTGGATCCCAAACCTCCCAACCGGGTCATGGCATCAGCTGTGTCTGGGCAGACCGAAACCCAGGCGTGGCAACGAATGCCCGGGTGAAAGGTTCGGGGCCTATCAAGTGCGTTCTGCACAATACACACCCCACATGATGGGTGAAAGGTCAGGGATGGATTGTTTTGACACCATTATCGGAGAAGGTAGGCTCTTGATGATATTTCACCCCCCCCAGGCTTGAAGAGGTTTTACAATATTGTTTTATTTGCGCAGCTCTGTCGACTCAGCATCCCAACGGATGTGCGTCGACTCAAGCAGACCTGAGGCGTCGGTTCTTTAGACCAGCGGTGGTGCGGTCGTTCAGCCGAGAAAGAACGATGATCCGATCCAAAGAAATTATTGAACTTCGTCCTTCCAAATGGATCAAAAGGATATCAAAAAGATACAAAAGGATATTTGATATACACTAACAAGTGTTGAAACTGAGGGTCACGCAAGAACAAAATAACAAGTTTGCTTTGAATCTACTCAAATCAGAACGTTGCAACGGGCAACATGTTCCAAACAATTAAACGTTTCTGAAAACTTCAATAGGCTCCTATGGTAATGAAAGCTTACGCAGCGCTTGCGCAACTGCAGTTTTAGCTTACACGGAGGAGTTGCTAGTGCCACTGTTTACGCAAGCTTACCTCACTGGAGGTTTTGCTATATAATTATATATATATATTATATCACAACGATCCTCTCATCCCTGTGGCTCCTGGTTCATCTCCTCAGGTTCGGTGGTATTCGACCCCCCAAACCCCACACCAACCATCTTCGAAACGAAGGTGGGCCAGTCCAAACGGGCATGTGGATTCATGTGGCATCGAACGGGGCTCGAGAAACTTCCTCGACAGCCGTGTTCGAGGCGGTGAGTCCCTACGGAGCGGTGGTGATTCACATGGCCATGAGGGGCTTAACACGGTACCAGCCGATATCAGCCCCATGGGCCCCATGGTCCTTGAGATCCAAGGAGGGGTCGTCACGAAGAGGTCCCGCTTGAAGTCGGAGGTCACGACAGGAATCCAAAGAGGTCACGACGGTCACGAAGGTCCACATGTTTGCTCTACATTCAATGGATTGGTTGAGGAAAAATCTACAGACCAACGAATGTAACTATTGGCGGTGCGGTGTCCTGTAGAGTCTCCCTTAAACCAATTCTGCTCTACATGTTGCTTGCTTCAAATGCTTGACCAATTACTTGAGCGTGCTTGGCTCCAAACTGATGTGCTTGGACTGCCTGTGCTTGAGTGCACCTGAGCAGGCCAGAAGGCCTTCATGGTCATGTCAAACATGATGTGCCCAAGTATGACCTGGTGTCATACAGAAACTATCTGATCTTACTTGGAACAGAAACACTGCAAGGAACCCAAGCCTTCAAAAGGTCAAGGTCTGTGCCGCTGAAAGTGAATCTTGAGTCCGCAGGTCAATGTTGCAAAAAGGCAATCTACGGATATCCATATTGTCCACAGGTCAATGCAATCCATGCGAACATGACTAAAGCTGGACAGTGTTGCAGCATTTCCATGAAAGATCTGAAAGATCATGAATGTTTTCATTTGGAAAAGCAACATCTTGAATCTTGATGCCTGGAAGCAAGTCAATGGCAAACAGCTGACATGGCGTTTCCCATGGAGCAATCTGATGCGGTATTGGGAATGTAACCTTTCTGCTTCTTCGCCAAGAAACACCACAGCCTCTCTTGCTGGCAAGAACCTCCAAAACCACAAAAGTCATGGCAATGGATACAGATACAAGAAACGGGGTTCAATAAGTTCCAATTGCTTCAAAATGGCTATCACAAGTTCCGAGATGCATATCTTCAACCAGCATTCGCATACAACTGGAAACTGCTGTTTGATTTGCATTGTCGGCTACAAACGTGTACAGCTCGAAGTGGGGCTAACACGGCTGACACTCATTTTTCATTGCACATTTGGTCGGTGGTATCTCTCAGGTGTTACAAACCAATGTTGCCGAACCAGTATTACATGCTCATACACCAGTGTCTTCATTTACACGTTTAAAATGTGCCAAATGACTCGCATGCATTGCATCAGTGCCTCGTGCAGGTCCTGCAGCTCCTCGTTCACGAGGCCGGGCAATGGGAAATCTTCCACCTGGCATGTCTGACATGACATCTCTTCGACC